GCTGGCTTTCAGCTAAGGTGATGGGGTGGCTGTGTCATGTGTTTTTTTAGGCCTCTGCTTTCATCATATTTGATACTCTTGATCAATCACAAAATACCTGGATAAAGGGCAGCATGAACAAACTAGGGTCTTCACTGTACATGATCATCACAATCTAAACACTGAAAATGGCACTTATTTCATTATCTCTTCCTTTTCTAGTTGGCATGACTTCTTTAAGATCTCTCTTATCTTAAARCAATCATTAACTATATGTTCTAAGGCAGTGTAGGAAATGTGATAAACTGCAAGAAGTCCAAAAAAGAATTATACATAATATGAGTCAATCTAATTCTGTTTTCTGAGCACCTTGTAGGTGCCAACAGTAGGCAAATTCCACCTCACAGTCACAAAGTAAATYATATAATTTCCCCTCTTCAGATGATAAAGCTAAATGAAATCTAGTAACTTGCTCAAGTTCATGGCTAGGAACTGGGGAACGTGCATGCCTCTAAGCCTTCGGTGAACACCCATGTACTCTTCAATGGACGAAAAGAGAAGCAGTCTGTTGAGGGMTTCCATTATCTTGGTTGACTTTCCAAAGTTAGTTGAAAGAGGACATTTGAAAGTCAGGATAATGGGTAGAACTCTCAGTATTCTTTCCTACTGATGGAGGTTGTGTGTACTATCACTATTTGGCTAATATGTCTCATGAAGAGTTTCTGCTATAGAATTCTAAATATAAATCACAACCACCATTTAGTAATTTTTAAAAAGAAAACCATCAAATACTTAGAATAGATTCAGTTTCTAGTGGTCTGGGATAACTAATATATGCCTACGTTTTTGGTTTGGAATGGAGGCATAGGTTCTTTAAAAGTCAAATGTGGATGGTCCCAGTTTCCTTATAAAACATGGGTGTCAGGGGTGAAGTGGGAGACAGTGAAAGGAAGAGTTGAGGAGACTGTGTGACATGTAAGGGGAAATAATGGAAGGATATGATAGTGATGGAATTGAATGAAATTAAATACTATATAAATTTGTTAGAGTCCTTGTCACCTAAAAAAATTCTAGAATCCTTGGGTCCTCTTTCCACGTTCCACACAGGTAAAAGGGATTCTAGAAGTTTGGATAAGGACAAATGCTAGACATTTTATGGTTTATATTTGTATTCTGTGAATGTGTTGAGGATTTATTTTTTAATTTCTTTTCTCATCCTATTTTAACCCATGAATATATCTCAACYTATGGAAAAGTATAGTCAGGACCAAGGACAGATCCGATGCTGATCTGGCCATCCTTGGGTTTTCTCCCACCTGCAGCTTCTTTCTCCTGATACCCTACTGGAATACTGAAAGCCTAGCCTTTTCATTATCTCAGTTTTGTTGTTTTTGTTTTTTTGTACTGGGAATTGAAGCCAGGGATGCTTAACCACTGAGCCACATGCCCAGCCCTTTTTTATGTTTTTTGGGGTTTTTTTGTTTGTTTGTTTTTGTTTGTTTGTTTGTTTTTTAAGAGACAGGGTCTCACTAAGTTGCTGAGACTTTCTTTGAACTCAGGATCCTCCTGCCTCAGCCTCCCAAGCCCCTGGGATTACAGGCATGTGCCACTACACTTGGCTCATTATCACAGTTTTTCTGTAGGGAAGAAGATAGGAACAAGTTTAGCACAGTGGGTCCCTAGGAAGAGGCCTCGGTATAAAGAGAATGAGTAAAAAAGTTCCTTTATTTCTCTGAGGACACTTTTTATCAGAGGACTCTCACCAGCTAATAAGAACAATATAGTGAAGGATTTCTTTTTCTTAGTGATTCTTAACAATCTGACTCCTGAGATGATGTTTTTCCTGCTTTTGAACACCCAGTGTTTCATAGCACATACATGGTAAGTATTCAATGAATATATTTTAACCTTTTGTAAACTTCAATTGGGTGTTGAACAAGAAAAAAATAAATAAATGCTTATGTATTTAGAATCTATTCAAAGATTTCTTGGGGTTTTAAAAGATAAAGATGTTTCAAGATTAGGAGTTCCTTTCTCAATTACTCAAATAATAGATTCTTAAAGAACACATACTAGGAAAGGAGACTGTTTTTCCACTGCCAGGATCCCTAAACCTAATGTAATTTCTTCCTTTGTTTCTCTTTTCTGTGTCTTTCCCTAACCCATGTTCTGGTGCCCATGTCTACAGGATGCATATACACTACAGGTATTCATGAGAAGTTTCATGTCAGTTCTGAGTATTACATTTTAAGAAAGCAATTGATATATTGATTTGTATCTGATACAAGGTAGAAGTCTAAAATAGGGAAGTTCCCAGAAATCATACTTTGTTACTGTGCTTGAAGCAATCGGTGATATCAAACCTAGAGAATAAAAAAGCATGGAAGATGTTTTGATTACTTGCAGAATTATTATCTAGAAAGTTTTTTCTATGTAAAAAGGCCTATAACTAACACCAATACATAGACATTACAAAAAGTTTATTCTGGAATACACTAGGGGTAGACACTACAAGGGAGAATATATATGCTCAACAGGTTAAAAAATGATTACAGTTTGTCRTATTTAGCAGTAGAATAACCTTAATACCTGCCATGAGGTTAGAACATTCTGAGTAGAGGGAGTACTCTCAGAAAAGGCAAACATATAAGAAGGGCCTAGAGGAAAGACTGTGCTCAGACCATAACATGCAAAACAGTTCATGCCTGCATAGCCAGGATGTAAAGAGAATATTGTCCAGAAGCACTAAGGTAGACTTATTTATTGGGGAGAGAAATTTGCTAGTTGTATCCAAGGTTGTAGTTCTGAATGCATTTTTCTGAAGTCCGTTGGGTTTATGTAGTGGCTCTATAGTAATTTTACTAATAAATAGATTTCTGTTGAGTAATTTAAGAATCCAGTGTCCATTTACTCATTAATTGAGTAAAAATTTACTTACTGAGTATTTAAGTAGTATTCTAAGCTCTGGATATAAAACAGTGAACAAAAAAGAGGTCTCTACCCTTAAGGATTTTACATTCTCATGGGTGTCTAAAGGTTACACAAAATGTGTAAAGAATTAATATGGATTCTAGTAAAAAATAATTCTCCCCTTTACATATATTGATGTCTATTAAATTTATCTTAGTTMATTTCCTGAATTATTTTTATAAACATGAATTTYAATAATCATATCTATAAATCATGATTTTTATCATCTTTGTATATATTTTACAAATTTCGAAAATTAAATGCAAATATTTTATTTTTATAGAAATCTTTCTGCTTTTATGATGAAAGAAAAGATATGGGTCATGTTTCATGTTTTACAATATTTGGAAAGTTTCTTATTGAGGAATTTAAATCTATAGTTACCATGTAATTCTGTTCAAAATTTATTTCTTGGGTTACTAAATCATTAATTATGCTTTTTGGTGTTCATCTGGGTTATGAATATAAAAAAAATTGAATACAATGTACTATTTTCAAAATTTAGTGTTAAAAAATGAGATGGTACAGTCATGTCATAAAGTCATTTCAAATACTGAAGTATTGAGGTGATCAGGTTTATAGACCTCTGTCTAGACGTGAAAACACAGAGACAATGTGACTTTCTAAGGTCTAGAGCCTGGGTCTTGCAGCTATCAGGATGGGATCTCTATCACTCCACATAGTTTACTTCTCTCTGCCATTTGGGCAGGCTGTAGGCTAGACTGAGAGGTATTATGAGGCTGCAGGTAGCCCATGCTGCTGTGCCTGGCATGAGTGTCCTTACGCCCTCCATGTCCTGACCTATCAAATACAAGGTGCTTGTCATCCCAACCAGCTAACTGAAATCCCTAGTAAAGCTACCATTCAGCTAAATTTTAGTAGGCAGATGACTTTCCAGCTTTCACTATTAGAATTTGAGGACCTTAGTGAATAATCAAATTTCCTGAGTATCAATAATATTTACACAATAATGGTTTTGCCCACTTATTGGGTACCAAGCAGTATATTGAATCCTTAAGGCATTTTAATGATTTAATTCTCATACCTGTGAAGGGACACTTCTATTGCCCCCATTTTAGAGAAAGAAATTAAAGAGAGAACATATAGGTTGCTGAAAGGTTGTACAGCTAGTTAGCATTAGAGACAGCTCTTAAATCCCACCTAACTTAACATAACCTTAGTTTGACAGCAGGAGCCAYAGACCCAGTGAATTTAGATGATCTGTCCAGGAGTATGGTGGGGGTGTGGTGTGAGTCACACGTCACATCCAAAGTTGTGCTGTTTTCCAGTGTAAATGCTCTTAGAATGGCTCCATCTGCTACCCTGGATTCTTAGTCTAACACTTCAACAAAAAATAGTTTATATATTTAGAGAAATAGATGGCTTTTAAAAATAATATAAATAGGCATTTTAGAATTTCCTTTGGCAAAATAACTTGATAGAATTACTCTTTATTTTTTTTTCAATAGCTGTTTGATTTCTATACTGAATATTAAGCCAACCTTTTTTCACACTTGTTGGTTRCAGTGCTTTTTCATAATGTGACATCTTTGGGGCTCTCAGGTGTAGACTTGGTATTTTCATCTGCCTATTATTCTGGTTGCATTGTGTTATCCAAGTGAGATTTTTTAAAAAGTTCCTAATGTTAAATAGTGATTCATTCTTTGTCATTAAGGCAGATAGATCAGGCTATTCTAACAATGCAGCGAAGCTCATTTTGCTGTCTTTTTTTTTATTTTGTCAAACCTAACAATAATTTCACTGGATGAGAAAAATTAAAATTGCCTCTTTGACAATGTAATGATATCAGTTTTTCCTTCACAGAAATTAAACAAAGTAAAAAAAAAAAATCTTAACAGTGGCCTTCAAGGGGTCAGTTATGCTTTTAGAAAAATGCCTAACAAGTTCTTAGGGCTTTTGTTTTCAAGATAAATCTTCCTGTTCTGAAGCACTTAGTTTTTGTGGTTTTTGAAGTAGAGAATGAATAAGAAAGTCCATCTAATGAAATTCAGAGTTGACTCATCTCTTTTTCTCTCTTCTCTCTCCTCCAGCTCTTTCTCTTTGTTGTCTGGAACTTTGAGCTCTACATGATACCACTGGTTTTATTGTTACTATTGACATGGAACTACTTCTTGATAATATCAGGGAAAGATAACAGGCAACGTGATACAGTAAGTCTCTACTTTCCTACTTGTGTGTGTGTTTGTTCTTACTCCTAGTTTCTCTGACAAGATCAACATTGAATTTGGTTTTACAAACCAGAGATTCTGTCTATAAATACTCAAGTTTGGAGGAAAGTTTTATCAGATCAAAACTAATAACTCTTTGGTCCTAACACAATAGAAAGTATTTACCTATTTCTAACATTACACTTACCATGGTAAAAACTAAAGTAGGAAGTACACCAAACAATGAACTGTGATTTTCTTTCATCATAAATGGCTGTTCCTCAAAATGATTGTTTCTTTTGGTCTCTTTATTTGTTTTATGTCTTAATGATTCCTAAACTAAGACATTTCACAAAATTATTAATGATCCGACCAAATGACAGTTCTCTCTATACAGTCATCGGAAGGAAGGAAGGACTGATGGCTGTTGACCTGCAAAAGTGTATTAAAGTACCTTAATTKGGGCTGGAGCTGTGGCTCAGTGGCAGAGTGCTTGCCTAGAATGCCCAGGACACTGGGTGGGATCCTCAGCACCACATAAAAATAAACAAATAAAATAAAGGCATTCTGTCCATCTACAACTACAAAGAAAAAAAAGTTTTAAAAAAGTACCTTAATTCAATGAACATTTGCTGAACAACAACTTCTCTTTGTTGGGATTGTATTGAGATACTAGCTCAAGGATGAAGAACTTCCCTTYAATCTAGGGAAAGTTAAATTAAATCCACCTCCCCTCTTTGGCATTTTTGAAAGTTTTCAGAATGTGTGAGACAAAGTTTCTCTGGGTCCCCCACCCCTTAGACTAATAAGTTGAAGCTAGTCACACTAGAATCACTTTTGTTGTTCTCCTGCCCAGCTTTGTTCCCCTTAGATTATTCCAGTCTCTATATCCCTAGAATATTTGCTTCCCAAAAYTTCCCAACATAKAAATAATGAGGAAGGGGGTGTCTTCTCCAAACACTACATTTGTAATTGAATATCTAGACAGATAACTGCTGAGAAGAATTTAAGAATTACCAGACGTGAGAATCTACTTGGTAACTGTGTGTTCTTTCCCGTCAGATTACATAAATGTTTTAAATGCACCTTTAAGGGTCTCCATTTGATGTGTAACCAGAACTGTTTATCAACTACTGTGTGCATAATGATGCAGTTATTTGATCACCATTTTAAATTATTATGTAATAAAATTCTTATAATRTTAAGCACCATGTTTGCACAGATGTACCTGTGAAATAAAAGAACTCCCCTTTGAAGTAAAGTGCACTTCAAGTGGTAACATAAGCAAAATATACTTCTTCAAAATTATTTTATTTATCATCAAAATTAAAGAAAAATCCTGATTCACAAACACTTAAGTGCATGGCAAAGTTCCCAAAAACATACCATATTTACTTTCCTATTTTATTTCTGTTTCCCTCACTAGATTGTAAGTTTGAAAGAAGAGACTGTGTTCGTCTTTGTATTTCCCTGTGTCTTTAGCATGTAATTTGCAAGTTAGAGGTGCTCAAAATATTTTTTTGTAAACTATASCAAATCAAAGATGAGATTGTTAATAGAGATTTTAATGGTTAGGTGGCATCAATAGACAAGAAGTTATTATTATTGGCAAGGGTTTTATGGATACATATTTAAATTGCACACTAAGAGACAAGCCCCAAATGCTATAAGCACTAGTGTCATGGGGACTAATAGGTACTTTTGTCAATTAATCCACAATATTTTCTTTAGGAAAATAGGACTCTGTCAGACAATTGCTTTTTTGTCCCATTTATTTCGGGRAGATTGTCAAGAGAGAAGAATATCTACTTTTCATTCAGTTGCCTTGAGACAAATTTGCAAATAAGATTRTTTGCAAATAGGAAAAAGTGGTAATTTAGTTTTAGCTTCGTAATCCTATGAGGAGACTTATCTTCAACATTTCGTCATTTGTTTGAGAATTCTTAGTGAAAAATTCTGAAGCTGTGGACTTTGCTTATTATCTTTTCCAGAATATACATGCCTCAGATGGAAAAGTCCACTTTTAGAGGAGAAATAATAATATATAATGTGTCCTTGGTACTTAAAATTCTCTCAGACTTTTTATAAGCCTGTAGAAAATTACATAATATGTAATTAAAATTATATAACATGTAACGTTTCAACAATCATTTTTTTTTAAATAAAATACAACTCCAAAATAGAATTTACCAAATCTTCCTTTTATGCATATATCTTCTAACAGATTCTTCCTTTTAGCCCTGGACAACATTTTATCCCCCAGTACAGCCCACTGTGGAACATTCTATAGTCTAAATCTCATGGAATGCCAACCACACTCCATAACTCCCAGTAATTGCCTTTTATTTGCCCAAAACACACATATCCACATATTCTGTTCTTTCCAGGCACCAGAGCAGCAATCACAACGTTTCATTCAGCTTCTTATTCACTGGCTCAGTTGAGACCTTACGTAACTCTTAAATCCAATTTGTCTAATTATGTGTTTTCTGGCATACCCAGCTGTGCATTTGAACTGGTTGCTCCTTTTGAATAGAAACCTGGATTATACTTTGCTGGGTACAGATTATGTGTGTGTGTGAATACACACACATATGCACATGCATGCACAAATTAAGGGAAAGTGTTTGTAGGGGTTGCTATGCTGACTTAATGACTTCTGCATTGTGCATAGCCCTAGAAGAATGGTATTTCTCTAAGCTCTTATTGGTGGCCCAGMATTTTGCAGAATCTTTCAGCATATGTAAAAACTTTACAAGATCTCTGAGAAGCATTAATCACATTGTTAGCTAACCCCCAAACAGGAAACTTGCTATATTGTGAGGATGGGGATTCTGTCATGAAAAATATACATATCTGTAAATTCAACTGAGCAAATTTAATTAGGATGAAAACTATAAAAGAAAAACAAGTCAAAATGACCTTCAGATCTGTATTGAAAAAAGGAAATAATATTTCCATGACCTAAGAAGTTGAAAAAAGAAAATGAACACATGTGAAAGATGAAAAGTACATAAATGGATAAAAATTCTGTCCTCAACATATTGATTGATAGTTGAGATTATAACCACAATAGGAGAAGGTTTCCTTGTGTGTTTATTGTTCATTAGGAAAGCCTTTCCTCTCTTGGATATCCTTAAGATCACAGGAGCTGAAACTGTCACCTTTCCCCCACCCCATGGTGCCTGTTCGAGTTTAATGAGAAAACATAAAAGATAGGATCCTTACTGAAGAAGTTTTGCTGCATTTAACAAATTGAACCTGTAAAAGACAAGATAAGTGGCTAGCCATTGCTGAGGCTAAAGCTGTTGACTCAGGGTGCTCATGAGAAAGTTGTGTGTTTAAAATGATATTTCACTTCCACTGTTTCCCAGTTGGACTTGTTAAAAATAAGCACTCCTAGGTCTGAATCTACCTAGGCTGGGACCATGACATTAAAATTTCTAGCATGAGAATTGTTAGGCTTTTCCTGGGAAAACTGTTTAATACATGTTTCACTCAGAAATGTCCCTGGCATGAAAGGGATATAAAGTTAGAAATGTCATCCTTCTCTTGGTTTGAGCTGTCACTCCAAAACCTGGAGAAAAAATCTCCCCTGCACTGCCTATTAGGCTTATGCCAACCAGCCAAATTATAGGTACTGTAGACAAAAAAGTTTAGATAGAACCTGCCAGGAAATGGTCTTTACTTTGGATTTAAAAATTACTAAGCCCTCATTACACCTTGGGTGCCATGTGAAGCACTTTATGTTCATCATGTCATTTAGTCTTCTTTTAGGAGGAGTTCTCTTTTAGGCTGAATGTGCCAGCCCAGTCAATGGTTTAAGTCCTCCTAAGCCAGGTGAACCCCTTTGTCCTTTTATTTGTGGCAATTAAGGGAACCTGCTCATGAGAAATAAGCATGGCTATAAGAGCCCTTCCTTAAGAAAATGGACTTGAGTCTCAGAGATTGAAGGAAATAGGCTGGTCAAGCAAACCAGGGGCCTATTAAACACTCTGTAGGTATCATTATTTCTATTTTACATACACAGAAACAGGGCCAATTCATCTGTCTAAAGTTTATGCTCTTAATCATGAGTCGATTACGTTTTCTCTTCTGACTATATTTTGGTACACCCCACTTCTCCCTGGGCAAGTTTCTCCCATAACTTACAGAAAAAAAAAAACAGCAGCACTATCTCTACCTTCAAGCAGTCATATTGATGGCAAACATTCATTTTTCCTAGCCCACCCACCTTAACTTAGTTACTATTCATTCAGGAAACTGAGCTGATATTTATTAAGCAATTTCTATGTATAAAATATCCTGCTAAGAAACATAATCTCTTTTTATTCTGTACAACAATAATATGAAGTAAATAATTCTAAGTGGTTTTCTCCCCATTTTAAAAATGAAGAAATTTAAAATGAAAAAGGATAAATAAGGACCACCACAGAATAGAGAAATGTTAACCCAGTTCTTCCCTTTTCTGAAGCCCCAGGCTATTTTTTTGTGGTACATACTTGGGCATGTCTTTCCCAAGGGACACTTTCTAAGTGTCCAGAGCTTTAAACAGAACCTCAAGTGTCCCGAGACTCCTTCCGATGAGGAACCCCATGAATTCTCATGAAAGAGTGCTGGACATCTGTTCTAGCTCACACGCCCCCCACCCCATTAATTTCAAAAGCACTTGTGGCCTGGAGAATGACCTTCCATCTACCCGGGTGAGCATAGAGAAGTAAATCAAAGCTGAAAATCTTTCACATTAGGAAAGAAAGTCTTTGAATTTCTTTGACATACAGAAATTCTTCAAGCAGTGTTTTTAAATTATACTTTAAAAGAACATTCATTCATACTGTCATGATATTCCTCCTACACAACACTCTCAGTTGCCTAATCAATGGCAGCAYTAAAAGACAGAAGAGTGGGGCAGATCAATGAAATCATTCTGACTCATGATATGACTGTGACACAAATTGAGACAAAGTCTGCCTTGCTAAAACACTTTGGTAAATACCGAAATG